TATATATATATATTTAGTGTCTCTCTCACGTTTGCCTCGTTTGCATCTCTCTCTTGCCGTCTATTCACTCCGTTAAGAGTTCTAAATCCTTGCTAGCATCACTCTGAATCTTCAGAAAGTTACGTAAGATTCAAATGCCATTGTCGCCTGGTACTAAGCTTCAGATTCGCTTCGTAAGATCTGCTGGCCGGTAAGCTCTGCGATCATACTTGTGTAATTTCGTTTACATCCTCCAATTTCATCTTAAATTAACAAAAGCATGAATTTCTGCGCATTTTAACGCGTTTTTTTATTTCAGTTATTTATCCCTTGCTTTTTAAAATCAAATAGTAACGCAAATTGTAGTGTATAGTCAATTTCTGAATTTCGACCAAATTGTTTTTCTGAATTACAACTGTATTTGTGCTGAAATTTACCACATTTGAAACTAGAACTTAGTTGATCTCAAGTTTGACGATGGAGAGTACTTTTGATTTAGGTAACTATGCTCTTGCTGGGTTCTGAATTTTTTTAGAAGCAACATAGAAGTAACCTAATGATGATAAATTATTTGAGCTCTCCCCGTGTCAAGAAGCCCCACCAAGTGAACTCTCAAGGTCTTTCCTGGGTTACTCAAAGGAGTGTCTTACCCATATGAATTAGGAAACTCTACGGGCGGCGCCTAGTCATGTGCTGGCGTTGGGCGCCTAACGTTTGCCAGAGGATTGTGATATGGAACGACTATGCTCTGCGGGATTTTCTTTGGGAAGGATAAAGACCTCCACTGATTGAGCACTTGAGGCACCACTCTTAAGAGCCTTGTGCGTTGATTTGTGAGCATGGCTTGGGTCTAGCCTTGCGAGCAAGGGTCCGTTGGCCTAGACATGTAATTGTGGGGTGGCGCTGCACTACGCGGGATGGAAGTATGTTGTAAGGGCAGTATTTGGCAATGCCTTAGCCTTATGACAATTGTTGGCATTATATGAAAGATAGCATGACAAAGGCCAATTGGATTAAGCGTTGCCGTACTCTATCAAAGCACAGGTTGCATCAGCAAGCACAAGACAAGTGTTAACCTTGAGGAATGGACTGTGCGCGTGAGTGTAATGGACTGTGCATGCGAGAGGGGCGCTCAGTACTACGTGAGGGATTGACATGTCTGTTGCCATTCTCGGGTGTGCGCCTAGACAAGATTCATCATATGAAATGCGCAAAGGGAGTATGACAACAAGTCATGGTTGAAACCCTTGATATCAAATTGGCGGGACAACTGAAGCTAGGCCTTTGAGGCAAGCTTCGCCATAGTTACAGGTTCGTGAAACCCGGGATAAGAGAAGACTGGCTTGTATTCAGGTGAGACTACATGTGCCCCACTAATTTGTGCACCGCTTATACTAAGGAGGAGTCGGCCCATGGCGCTAAACACGCGTTAGCTTGAGGGCATAGTTGATTGTGCGAGCCGTGTTAATTGTGATGTGGTCATTTGTTTGGTTTGACGATTTTGATGCAGTTTATCTGAGTAGGTAGGAAAGGTATATTCTCATTTGCCGAGTCGCACACCATCGCGTATTTTCTTGTTTATGCAGATGATATTTATCATCACTAGAGGTCATTGTCATCTTGGGAATCTTTACTATTTTTTAGAAGTCGAAGTGATTCATAGTGCAAATGGAATTAGTTTGTCACAATCAAATTATATCAATGACATACCACGTGCAGAAATTTGAGAGAATGCAGTCCAGTCAAAATTCCAATGAAATGACACCGAAGTACTTAATCACGATGATGGTGCAAAATACTACATGATATAGGAAAGTCTTCGATTAGCTCCAATACTTGTCATTCGCCCGTCCAGACATAAGCTTCTCAGTGTATAAATTGTCTCAATTTATACACTCGCTATCTGAACTTCACCAGGAAGGCATGAAGGACGAGTATTAAGGTTGAAGGTTGACATATAGTTGCGAGTCTCTCCTAGGCTTGTCAGTAATACTAGTTCTGTTGTTGTATTTTCTTATTCCTGGTCCGTTATTAGTACATGTTGTGTTATTCGTTTCCATTACCCTGTTACCTTGTTGCAATTGTTTGTTACTTTAGTTTCACTGTTCCTTGAGCCGAGGGTCTACCGGAAACATTCTCTCGATCTTCATAAAGTAGGGGTAAGGTCTGCGTACACACTACCCTCCCCATACTTCACTTGTGGGATTACACTGGGTTTGTTGTTGTTGTTGTAGTAGTAGCATTTGAACTTCATCGGAAAGTACTCAGAGAAGTGCTTAGGTATCTATAAGGTACAATTCAGTGTGGTTTCTACATATGCGAAATAATTCAATCTGTATATGTACTTTGATGCGTAGTGGGCTAGAGATGTGAGTGCCCGAGCCTCGACTTCTGGTTACATTTTGTTTTTTGGTCAAAATCCCGTGAGTTGGTCATCCCAAAACAAAACACAATAGATCGCTCATCTACTGAAGACATTGCTGTAAATTTTCACTTTGTTTAGAAGCAAGTGCAAGAAAAATTAGTCCAGGTTGTTCACATTCATATTGCAAATTAACTCGCCGATGCTCTCACTAAAGCTCTTCAAAAGTCAGCTTTCGACAACCATGTATTCAAGCTAGGCATTGTTACACACTGCCTACCTTGAGGGTTCATATCAGCGCACATGTTTACTGTTAAAAAATTTGTTAGTGTTAGGTCCATTCTTTAGCATTCTATTAAGATAGTCTATTTGAATAAAGGTTGTTAGGTTGTTAATAGAGGCAGACCCAGGATTTTAAGACGATGTGGGCACAATATTCTGCTCAACCAGTGCCCTCTAAAGGCTTTTAGTGTTCAGGGTACCAAGTGATTCAAATTAACCATTTTTAAGGTATACACATATACATATACAAGATTTAAGTTTACGGGGTCCGGTGACCCCTAAATAATACACATAGGTCCGCCTTTGGTTGTTAGAGTTAGACCTTATCTCTAGCATTTGAATTAGGATAAGTCTTGTTAAATAAGTGCTCTTCATCAAACGAGCACATTTTAGGAAGTTCATTTTTCATTGTATTTAAAGGTTGCTCATGGCTTAATGATCATATAACATTTTAGCCTTTACACTTCTATCGTATAACATTCCGATATTTCCTCTCCATTTCAACCATATGATTTTGATTCTATATGTAACATTTTGGCACTATGTTTGTACCATTCAATTCTTCTGAAAAGCCTAGATATCTAAATTGTTTGCATTTATACATCACAATTCCATCTAATTTCACATGAACTTCATTCTTTTTAAGTTGACTAAACTTGGAGTGCATATATTCAGTCTTACTTCTACCTATCCTAATCATTACCCTCTAAAGTGCTTCTCTATATTTCAAGCTTTTGGTTAACACCCTTGATGATTCCATCAATTAGCATAGTATCGTTAGCAAATAGCATACACCATGAGATCTCATCGTATATTGTGTTGATTAGCTCATTCATAACTAGGATAAACAATTATGAGCTCAATGCCGAACCCTGGTGTAACCGATGGTTATGGGAAACTCCTTCCTATCTCCTACTATTGTTCTCACAGTAGTGACTCCTTCTCACATTTTTTGTGGCATTTATATATTTAAGATGAATTCTTTTCTTCCCCAACACTCACCAAAGGACCTTTCATGGTATTTTATCATATGATTTCTCCAAGTCGATGGACCATGTAAAACTTTCTTCCTCTTATGATAAATTTTCATCAATCTTCTTTACAAGAATATAGCCTCTATTGTAGATTTACCACGTGTAAATCCAAGCTGATTCTCTGCCACTCTTGTAATGTTCCTAAATCTACACTTTATCACTCTTTCCCAGAGTTTAATAGTATGACTGATGAATTCAATCATGATAGTTTTGTACAATTTTGACTTTCTCATTTGTTCTTATAAATTAGAATCATGGTATTCTTGCTCCACTTGTGGGGCATCTTCCCACTTCTTAGTATGGCACTAAATAGCTTGGTAAGACGCCCTACTCCAATCTCTCCAAGAGACTTCTAAACCTATAAGGGATTACATATTTGATATTTTCCATAAATTATGCGCTTCACTTTAATGAAGTTGCACCTTAACGTATCGCTTTTTGCTTCAAGCCCCATGGACCTTGTTGCTTTTTTGCGCTTTTCGCTTTTTAAACAGTGGAGTGTAAAGTTTCTATCATGTCCAGATGTATGGAGATCTAAAATGTTGTTCTTGTGGTTCAAATTGAATAACTGATTAGAATTGCCTCTCCATCTCTCATTCATTATTTTTTCTTCTATCAACACTTGTTGAGAATCGTCTTTAATACACGCCACCTAGTTTATGTCCTTACTACTCTCAGTAAATTGCCAAACTTGTACTTGTAGAAAAAGTTTGCAGACCTGAATATAGAGAAATAATTCGAATTTGATCATTTATCTTAAATATCTTAAGAAACATTCAGTTTTCAAGGCTTTCATAGTACTAGTCAAGAAAACAACAACAACAACAACAATAACAACATACCTAGTATTATCCCACACTGTGGGGTCTGGGGAGGGTAGTGTGTACGCAGACCTTACCCCTACCTTGTGATGAGGACAAATAGGTTGTTTCCAATAGACTCTTGACTCAGGAAAGTATAAGCACCACATTAATGAAAATATAGACAAGAAGAGACAGTACCAAAAAGCCATATAAAAGCAGAATAAAAACAACAAGATAGTAAGGTGATCAACAATGAAAGAAAACAATGGTTAGTCATAAAAACCTACTACCAACAGAAAGCGAGATTGCGTGCCAATATTACTGTTATGAATACTCGAGACTACCTACTCTACTACCCTAATCCTCGACTTCCATACCTTCCTATCAAGGGTCATGTCCTCGGTCAGCTGAAGTTGTGCCATGTCTTGCCTAATCACTTCTCCCCATCACTTCTTTGGCCTACCTCTACCTCTCCGTAGGCCCTCCAATGTCAACCTTTCACACCTCCTCACCGGGGTGTCTGTGCTCCTCCTCCTCACATGACCAAATCACCTAAGCCGCGCTTCCTGCATCTTGTCCTCAATAGGGGCTACACCCACCTTATCGCGAATAACCTCATTTCTGATCCTATCTAACCCGGTGTGTCCGCACATCCATCTCAACATCCTCATCACTGCTACCTTCATCTTCTGGACATGAGCGATCTTGACTGGCCAACACTCAGTCCCATACAACATCGTTGGTCTAACCACCACTCTGTAGAACTTACCCTTAAGTTTCGGTGGCACCTTCTTGTCACACAAAACACCGAAACCGAGTCTCCATTTCATCCATCCCGCCCCAATACGATGTGTGACGTTTTCATCAATCTCCCCATCCCCCTGAATAATGGACCCAAGGTACTTAAAACTTCCTCTCCTAGGGATGACCTGCGAGTCCAACCTCCCCTCCCCCTCCCCTCCTTGAGTCTCGCTACTGAACTTACACTTCAAGTATTCTGTCTTTGCCTCCATACCTCTAATTGCGCGTTCACATCTTCTCGCGTCTCGTCAATCAATACAATATCATCTGCAAATAACATGCACCACGGCACCTCCCCTTGGATGTGACGCGTCAGTACGTCCATCAACAGAGCAAACAACAAAGGGCTAAGTGCCGACCCCTGATGTAACCCCATTATAATCGGAAAATGGTCCGAGTCCACACCCACCGTCCTCACTCGAGTCTTTACTCCATCATACATGTCCTTAATCAACTTGACGTAGGTAACAGGTACACCTCTAGCCAGTGTTTTGAAAAGCGAGCGCTTCGTCGCTTTAAGCGAGAAGCGAGGCGAAGCGAGAAGCTGTCGCTTTTTCCTTACCGAGGCGACACGACCAGCAGAAGCGATCGCTTCAGCCAAGAAAGCGAGAAGCGATCCAGAAGCGAAAAGCGCAGAAGCGAGCGCTTCTGCCCAAAGGGGTCATTTTGAAAAAAAAAAAGTTTGGGTCTTTGTTTTTGTTATACAAAACAGACCCAAAGTGAAAAGACCTTTCTTTGTCTTGCCAAAAATTGAACGTTAGCAGCAGCAGCAGCCAACTAGGGTTCCAGCCTCCAGGTAATTTTTCTTCTTT